GGCGTAAGCAGTGGCGCCAGCGTTTTCGCCCGCCTGCAGCGACACACCGCCATTTGCGTAATGGTCGTGATGCATTGATTTTTTGTGCCTTGTCCGGGAAGGAGCAGCAAGTCGGTGTATCAGGCGCGTGCACCGCAGCAACCTCAATGACAGAGAGGCGTAGATTGGAAGGCGCGATGGATATTGAGTGGGGTCCGCCTGCAGGGTCTTCGCAGTTTCCTATTTGGTTGGTTCAGGTAGCTAAACAGCAATCAATCCCCTCGTGCAAGGTGTGTAAAGCCGTTTGACTCATCATGACTTCCCCAGGGTCTGCTCAAGGCTGGGGGACGGGAGGGGGGTGGGGACCCAATCCATGCATCAAGCAGCCGGAGGATTTTTACGCCTGCTGCGAGCAGGCAGGGATAGTACACGCCTCCGCGCGATAGGTAGTACTACATAAACCGTACTTGAAGTTATTCTTTCATCGAAATGCTTTCATATCGCTAATGCAAGGTCCAGATCGGTAGTAGATGTGCTTTGCTGCCTGCCAGGCGTTTGCATAGCATTTGAAGGAATTTAAATCAATCATGCAGCTATGTAAGAGCCTGGGCACGAGGCCAGGGAGCAGCGCAGCAAGCAGCAACTGGCGAGGGGACATCAGCATGCGTGCGGTGCATGCCCCCTGCTTCAGAGCGTTCGCCGCGTACAGCCCTTTAATCCGCTGGCGAAGGCTTCAAGCAACAGAGTCCCAGACAGGTGGGTTTGTAGGCTTGGCTCCAAGGGCTCGCGCCCTGCTCCGCCCGTTGCGCCAATTCTGCGCTTGACTGCAGGCCAGCCAACGAGTAGAGTGCACACAGCGCTTTGACCAGCTGATCTGGCACATGCGATCCACAGAGGCTCATAGCAGTCCTTCAGGTCTGGACCACAGCGCCGCGGCTCTGCAGCCACCACGCCGCAGACAACGAAAATTTCAGTGTTCCGCTCCGCCCAGCTCTGACGCGATTTGACCTGCTTGCAGCATCAGTATGCACTGCACCCCCAATCCCCTGGCAGGGGGTGACACGCTCACAAAGATTGAGACGATGCGGTCAGATCTGGATGATCTGGAGGCGGAGCTGCGGCGTGCCTCTGAGACAGGTGTGCGCCCTGCTGACTTGGCGGCGAAACGAGCGAGGGGACCCAGGACACCACTGGCGTGTGTATGGCCTCCAAGCTTGTGGCCCCTCCGCACAGGCCGCCATGCGGCGATGTGAGCAGAGCCCAGGCCACGCCCCCCTCTGTGCCGCCCGACTCTTGACCCCGCCACGTCGCCCCAATTTCCGCAGGCGAGCTCTGCGCGCGCCGCAGCCGGCGCCTGCGCGAGCGCAGCCGCCAGCTGGCGGAGTACGCCCTCGAGCACGTGGCGCAGGGCGACGAGGCGGCGGCGCGGTCCGCGCTGCAGATCAAGGCGTCCGTGCGGGAGGCGCTGGCGAGCGCGACCCGGAGGTGGGGGCACCCAGCTGCTCGATTTCAAAGTGTACTTTTGCAGCTCGATGTCGCTGGGTGGGGGCCGCCCGGGTCTGTGGGTTGGCTGCATGGGTTGCAGGCGGCCAGGTGAGCGCAGGGGTTTGTCTGCTGGTCGCGAGTTCGAGTAACCGACGGCAACCATTTGCTGTCCCGTGCAACTTCTGGCAGGGCGCTGGCGAACGCGGCACTAGCCTCAAAGCTGGAGGCCGTGATCGAGCAGAAGCAGGCGAGCTTTGCGCGTTGGGGCTCCGCAGGGGCAGAAGAAGCAACTGGGGTTTTCGAAATGCGGTCGTGCCAGGTGCGACGGCAACAGCGGGGCAGCACATGCGCAGCGTGTCAGTTTACTATTGGTCTGCTTGATCAACTCCCTGGACTAACTTTTTTGCATTGCGGTTCAGTCCAGCGTATTTGCACCTCATCCATCATGTTGTATCATTGCAGGTTGAGCTGCTTCAGTCAATTCGGGAGGCGCGCGCACAGCTGGAGCGGTGGCAGGGGGGTGGCATTGACCAGCAGCAGCAGCGCGAGCTTCGGCGCGCCACCAGCGGGGGGCGGCGGGAGCGGGGCGGCGGGGCAGAGGGCGGCGGGGGCGGCAGCAGCAGCAGCGGCAGGGGCCCGCTAGAAGATTTGTAACACTAGAATTGTTTCAGCTGGTTTGCATCCTCCCTCTCTGTAACCGAGGGATGGTTGAGGGGCAGGATAGCTGGTCCTTCATTTTTTACTTCAACAGCTTCCTGCTCTCACGTCAATGGGCAGGCAGCACAGGGGAGTGGGGAGGCAGCGAGCATCTGGTGCCATCCCAGCCGGGTTGTGGGGAGCAGTGTGCTGACTTTGGAAGACAGGTGTGTCATTTTGCTGCTCGACGTGCCTTCAGGCGCAGCCTTGTCACCGTTCTCCTTGCCTTGTGCTGGTGGGGGACTATGATGCGGATGGAGGCATCTTACCGAGGGCTGGCCGTCCCCACACCCGCCTGTTGGTTGTGTGCGCACACCAGGTGCTCACCCACCGGTTTGGGGTCGACACTAGTCATTAGGAGCATATGCAGCGGGCTGTGAAGCCGACCCTGGCATGCGGAGGTCCCCAGGCTGCGCTTCAGCCCACAGGCAGCTGCAGCCATGCCGAACATTAACCTAGGCAGCAGACACACAGGCGAGTGTGAGCAGGAGACTTCAAGACAAACCTGGCAGCGTACAAGTCAACCTTGGCAGCGTCGTCACAGCATGTGAGCAGGTTAACTGCTGGCTTTGCTGCGTGCTTGTCACTTTTGCGCACCAGGCAGCCCACAGCTTGCAGTTGCGCGCTGCCAACTCCTGCCCATTGCATGGCGCGTGTCAGCAACCTCCATAAAGTGCCGAAATGTGAGGCAGGTTTGTTACAACACACTGCAAGCACCTCAAGAACCACGACACGGTGCACTGTCAGCCGGGTACACATGTTGGGGCTCTCGGGGAAGTCCTGCTGAAAGGCAGGCAAAATCTGTGGGCAGCGGCGCAGTGGCCGCTCCGCCCGTGAAACACTCGACACTCATGCGTCGAGGCGGCCTGCGACCCCCGATTTGCTCTCAAAGACAGGGGCAAGCCACCCCGTGCACTGCCGGCCCCGCGCACCCCTGGGCATCCCAGCCACGTGCGCGCCTGCAGGCGCCTATGCGGCTTCAAGCAAAGAGTGGCAGCCGGGGCCGCCGCACCGCTCCGCCGCATGCCCCGCCGCCGCCACCTCCTCCTTCCCACCCACCGCTGCTGCTGCTGCTGCTCCCAGGCTCCCGCAGGGGTTGCCCGGGCTGGGGTGTGCGCGCTTAGGCGACGGTGAAAGAGTTGAGGGCGCCCTGGGCTTCCCTGTTGGCGCCCTTGATCCAGCGCTTGTCCCCGATCTGCAGCTTGCACACCCAGAGCTTGCCGGCGGACACGCTGGCGCTGATCAGGATGTGGCGGCCGCCCTCGTTGCCGTCAGCGGAGCGGGCCAGGATCTCGTACCTATAGAGGCGGGGGCGGGGGCGGAATCATGGAACGCCTTCCAGTCAACTGATGACGCTGCTCACAGCTCGTCGCTCAGGATCACCAATTCACAGCAGAGTGCCAACAGGCGCACGGCGGCTGTCGTTTGCAGCGCCCTGATGTTTGCATGCTTGTGGGCAACATGAAGGACCCAGCGAGGGGCACCTGCAGTGACCTCTTGACCTGCAGTGACCCCCGCCCCGCTCACCGGTAGTACTTCTTGCCCTTCTTGTCGGTGGCCTCACCCACGTCCAGCAGGCTAGCGGCCGCCACCCTGCCGGGGGCGAAGCCACCCTCAGACAGGGTCTCGCCGGAGAAGGCCTGCTTGCCCAGGAGGGGGGTCAGGGTCTGCAGGAACGCCTCGGGCTCGCCGTAGCCGCTGATGTCGCTCTTGTCGGAGTCTGCGGTCAGGACGACCACGTTGTTCACGGCATCGCCGTTGTCCTCGTACCTGCGGGTGCGGAGCACGGAGTACAGCAGGCGGGCGGCGCCAGCAGGGTCAGGGTGGGGGAGGGGGCTAGGCAGGCATGCTGTGCCGTGTTTTCTGTGCAGCAACCATTGCTCTGTCGCCGTGTAGCAGCGCAGCCCCACAGCTACATGCCAAACAAACACCCCGCAGGCTGCGAGGCGCCACAGCAATGCAGCTGCGCGGGGGCTGCTATGCACCCCATGCAGCCTGTGCGCATCCATGCCAAGGAAGCGCACCTGAGCACGGTGGTGCCGAACTTGGCAAAGTCCTGCTCCTTGCTGGGGTTCCACTTGCTGGGCAGCAGCAGAGCGAAGCCCTCACCAGCGTACGGGACGAAGCCTGTAAGGAAGTGGGGGCAGTGAGTACTCAGCTTGGCAGCGCACTGCTGCGCCATTGCTACTGTGCAGAGTCGGCTTACACATGGCCCTTGTCAACAGGGATGGGCGCCCCTGGATGGCTCCATCCGTGTCTCTGGCTGTGCGCCTAGACAACGCGATCACGTCGGCGACTACCAAGAGCAGCTCTCGAGCCCCAATCTCGCGACCATCTCGGAGCACGACGCGGTCAGTCCGATCTCGCTGCAAGGGCCTTCGCAGACCTCTCGGACTCACCAGTCTTGTTGGTGACCTTGCCGAACACGTTAGCGGAGTCACCGTACGCGGCCAGAGAGGGAGCCGCGCCGGAGGCCAGGGCCGCGACACCAGCGAGCATGCCCAGGGCAGCACGGCGGGGCTGCGCAGACGTAGAAGGGGGCAACACAAGATGCCGTAAGAAAGGACCCCGCAAAGGGACCGATGGATACGCACAGGCCCTGCTGTCCTGCGATCGCAGTGGTCCAGTGGCCCCTCGAGGCTCGTAGGCTACCCCATTGATCCCGCGCGTTGCCCACCATCTCGCCCTCGACGTTGGCCTTGCTGGCCTTGCACACCACCACGCGGGCCACGCTGCGGCGGGCGCCCACGGTCTTGCCCACGGCGATCTGCTGCTTGGCGAGGAGGGCCATGGTTGCTGCGGTGTGTGAAGACTTGACAGTAAGGCGCAACGAAGAGTGGTGGCGGAACGGGGGAGAGGGGCAAAAGAGCGACACGGCAGCAGAGAGCGAGGTTTTTGTGGTTTTGGCGTTTAGGCATCTGTTCGCCCGCTGGTGTGTAGTGAATGTGCCCCTTTGGCTATAATTCACTGATTTTAGGAGCATGCCGAGCGTCACACACCACCACTTGTAACGCGACACAGGACATGCACAGCAGGCTGGTTGACCCGCTGTCACAAGGGTTCCGCTCACTCCCGCCCCCTTTGCAACTGCCCACCTGGAAGCACACAGGTGCAAGCCACGCTGCAACGAGCCAAAGGATAATAAGGATGTGTACTGTTGGGCAGCTGGGCACACAGACTTGCCTGCTAAAGCCATGTGGAGGTCGCAGCATCAGTGTGCTTTTGAGTGGGCTCAGCACTGTGCATGGCTGTCTGGATGCATCATTAGGCACGTTGGAATACCCCTGGACAGAGCAGCAGCGCCCTTTCAGCACGTCAGGCTTACACCAACAAAGGCGCCGTCCGGCACTAGTAATAACCACCATAACCACCGCCATACCCGCCGCCGTAACCGCCATGGTACTGCTGTTGCTGCAAATGGTGGTATTGGTGGTGATGGTGGGGGTGCATCCCTGGCGGCGGCGGCGCAGGCCCCCCGTAGCCAACATGCCCCATGAACATGCCAGGCGGCGGCACAGGAGGGTAGTAACCTGCAGCCGCAGCGGCAGCTGCGGCAGCGGCAGCTGCTGCCTCTGCAGCGGGGTCAATAGAGTACGCGTGCTCCGGCCCAAGCTGGTGCTGCTGCGCGTTTGCCGCCGCCGCCGCCGCCCCTTGCGCCGCCGCGCCGCCCGCGCCCGCGCGCCGCCGCCGGCCGGGCGGCAGGGGGAACAGCCGCGCGTGGCGCCGCTCCGCCCGCTCGAGCGCCGCCGCGTCCCCGAGCGAGTCCGCCAACTCGACCGCCCTCAGGCTCAAGTCCTCGCGCTCGTCCTGCGACAGCGCCGCCGCGCCGCCGCCGCCGCCGTTGCTGCCCGCGCCGTTGCTGCCGGCGCCGTCGCCACCACCGTCGGCCCCCACCGCCAGGGCCCGCTGCACGAGCGCGTCCACGCGCGCCGCGCAGTCCGAGCCGCCGCCCAGGCCGCCGCCGGCCCCCTGCTGCTCTTGCTGCTGCGGAAGCTGCTGCGTGGCCTCGAAAAACAGGGCGCCCTGCCATAGCCAATGGCAGCCGGGCGCCGCCTCGAGGCAGTCGGAAATCACCGAGCGTGCGGTTGCCGCGTCGCCATAGGTGTTGCGCAGGAAATGCGCATATAGCAGGCCCAACGCCCCCAGCGGCCCGCCGCCCTTGCTGCCGCCGCTTGCCGGGGCGCCGCCCGCCGCCGCGCCGTCGCCGTCCTCGCCGCCGGCCCCGCTGCCTAGCCTGCTGCGTTCCTCCGCCATTGCCGTTTCGAACACCCCGCACGCCGCCGCGCGGTCGCCCTGGCGCCGCTCAAAGTTGGCCGCCGCGACAACGCCCTGTGCATGTCAACAGACGCGGATGCGCCGTGGCGCAGGCAACGCGTCTGTTGGCGTCGACTACACACGAACGTGTCTGGATGTTTGGCAGCGCCGATGCAATGCAGTATGGTCGTAACTCGCACTACCTTTTCAGCCACATCCACATGACACGACAGGCTCATGGGCGGGCAGCAGGCCGCCCGCCTCCCCAGGAGCACCCCACCGCACCTCCAACAGCCCAGGTGCCACCTCAGACAGCAGCTTCTGGTACGCCGCCCGCGCCCCCTCCGCGTCCCCGCGCCGCTCCAGGAACCGCGCCGCAAGGAGGTGCGCCTCCGGCTGCCGCTTGCACAGCACGAGCGCGCGCCGCAGCGCGGCGGCGGCTGCGTCCGCTCCCGTTCCCGAGCTGCCCTGCCCAGCGCCCTTGGCGCCGCCTTCTTCGCCGCCGCCGCCCTCGAGCCACCGCACATACCTCCCCCAATACTCTGGATACAATGCGCACGGCACCAGACACCGCTCGTAGATCGCAACTGCTGCCGCCGCCGCCGCCGCCGCTGCCGCTGCTCCGCCACCGCCGCCGCCCCCGCCGCCGGCCTCACGGGTTGCCGCGGCCGCCTCGGCCTCGGCCCAATCCAGGTACGCATGCCAGTTGAGCAGCTGCGCGGGGTCGAGCGCCTGCGGGTGGAAGTAAGGCCGCTTGATCGCGACCTCGAAGCGCCGCGTCGCCTCCAGCTGCGTCCGCGTCGCGCCCGCGGCCGCGGCGCACTGCGCCAGCCAGGCGTGCTTGACGGCGTCGTCCGACACAGCCGCGGCCGCCGGCGCCTGCGGGGCGGCGGCAGCGGCGGCGCCGCCACCGCTGGCGCCGCCAGCAGCCCCATCGGCCGCTGCTTCAGCCGAGGCCGCAGGGGCCGCGGCCGCCTGCTCCTCCGCCGCCGCCCCTCCCTCTCCAGCCGCCGCGGGCGCCGCCGCCGCCTCTGCTGCCTGTTCATCGCCAGCGCCAGCGCCAGCGCCAGCGCCATCGCCCGCACCTGCATCCTGCATTTCCACGTCCCCGCCCTCGCC